CCCCTGCCCGCTAACCTTTTCTGTTTCAGAGACAGCCAGGATCAAGAAACGAAGACAACGACACACACACACACAAACACACACACACACACGCACGCACGCACGCACGCACGTACGAACGCACGCACGCACGCACGCGCGCACACACACACACACACACGCACACTACGCACTACGCACTACACACTACACACTACACACTCCCCATACCCTCCTTACCCCTCCCCTCCCGCGCTAACCTAAGGGCCATCTTAGCAAAGCGCATCCCGGGCTGCATAGCCGCANGAATATTCGCATATCTTGCAACGTCAGAATCTACATACTTTTCACGCTTTTTAAATTTGCCACTTAAAAATATTCCAAAGAAAGCATTGATATATTCCTTCAGTTTTATTTGAAGCAAATACATATATTATATAGTGAGATATAACACCAATTCCCACAACACTAGATTACTGGAAGCAATAAATGATGACAAATTATGGTTACTGGTTAGAAGTTAAAACCCATATGTCAAAGTCGTCAAAGTACATACTACATATCACTGAATAGTGAATATATACATTTTCGCCATCTGTTCAGGTTAGACAAGGTTAGAAATACGATTAAAAGAGATAGAAACAGTAACTACAAGTCAGACGTATTCACCAATATTCACTCGCGAAAAAAGCCTATATGTTTCACTAAATAAGTTTTCAAGTGCTACATTTCTGTAATGAAACAGAAACGTTTCTATTTAGTTAATGTGTCAAATGTTCAGTAAAACAGCTCATTTGCAACGTTTCATTTAGGTTTCATGTTTAGTGGGTCACAACCGACTTCTTGTTGCCGCCTCTATTCTTGAAATCTAGGAAGGACACTTCCCGTATCCAATAGCATTTGGCAGGTTTGGACAAGTGTTTTCGGGCTGGAAGAGGCTTTCCTGCGAACATTGTCCAGAATACATTTTCGGAAATCGAATATTGTTATATATACACATTGATATAGTTAAAAATGTTGCTTCAAAATTAAAAAATTATACTTTTCAAAAATTTATAGATTTTCGGGCTTTCTTATTGAGTTGAGTTCCTGCATGAATTTTAATTTGACTAACGATACATAATTAGTTTCTCAATAATATATTTTATTTACATCAAAGTTATTTAGATTGTAATGATTTTTTTTTGTAGAAACAATGCAAATTATCGACTCTTAAATGAAGAAGCAGAATTTCAGCAGCTGACTATCCAAAATTCAACATCCTATAATCATCAGGATAGTATAAAGTTGTCCTCAAAAAGAAGCTCATCAACAAGATCCTCCTGTAGTGATTTAACAAATATTGTACCATAAATTATAATAACTGCCACAAATTTTATAATTTAACTGTTTCATGTGAGTACAATTTGCATTTATTATTTTTACAATTAAATAAAAAATAGTTAAAACAAAATGTGTAGTACTTACTTTCCTACCAAGGGAGGAAAATGAAAACTTTACTAACAATAAGAAAGTAAATAAATTTCTTCTTAGGAGAGAAAATAGCATTTACAACCTCCATTTATCCTCGTATTACAAACTTATTACTTTTAATTCCTGTTTCATAAAACAAATCTGAAAGAAATTGATTTATTTCACATAGTTGCAAAGTGAATAAAACCTTTTTTTAATGAAGTAAATAAATACAAGTTTTCAGTTTTTGAGTAACATGCATGCAGGAACTACTTTCCGTAACGTGGGCAGTGCAATGAAATAAATATACTTAATTGCATTATAATTTATTAAAACTCATTAATATCCTTGGAAAATAATTCACTAGTAATTAGCCAACGCTTCCAAACCTAATTAACTCGTGACAAAATTTAATATGTATAATAATTTAAAAGTTTAGAGGGTATAAATCAAACGGGTAACTAATCAGATATTCTACTCAATTAAAAGTGCACCTGACGTTGCAAAAATATCCCGAAAACATTCGGCAGGTATGCATAATCCAACAAAATGCATTGCCAAATTCCTAAATTATTAACGTAGGTAATACACGTACCGAAACCGAAATTATTTTGCGGACAACGTATAATTTCATTTTTTATTTCAATTATGTAAACGCGTAGTAATAATAGATTAGACATAAACAAAATATTACGTAAACTACGCGTGTAAACTGTAATTTAAGTAGATGTACCGGGTGTTCAGTTACTAATGGGAAATACGTTTTGACAAAAGCGCTTCGTTTCGGAGGTGCTAGGTGTTAAAGTTCAAAAAACTTATGCGAGGTGTCTTAAGGGGTCTGTACAACGCTCCACCAGATATAGTACGGCCCAAAATAAGTCGATTTAACTAAACTTGCCTTAGTCTAAAAATTGATAATAACGAAGCTACAGGGTGTCAAATTTGAAAAAAAAAACATTTTCTTTAATATCTTTCGATTACTTCAAGCCAATTTCGTGAAATTTCGGGTTTTTTTGGGATGAGAAATTCGAATTTATCAACGATTTCGTTGTATCTTCTAGAGAGGGTGCCACAAGCGATCATTAAAACTCATTTAAACTGCCAAAACTTTTTTTATGCCACGGTGTATTTCACTTTGAGCCAGAAAAATCTTTTCCTCCAACTTTTCTTCTTAAAAAAGGTATAGGTGCTATATCTAAATCCAACTGTTTTCAACAAAAATACATGCATTTAAAGTAAATGCATAAAAAATTAGTTTAAAAGTTATTTTCAACTCCACTGATAAACGAATTAGGAGCAATCGTTTATTAGCAAGAAATATACCTTTAAAGGAAACACGGAAACGGTGCAATTACAATTTAAAATTTCGTTTATTTAACAATTTTACTGCAAATAGAATTGACAGAGTAAAAAACATAATTTTTTAAAACAATCTAATCAATCTAACACAATCTAACACAATCTAAACAATGTAACTACCTAATAATCTAAATGATCTAAAAATCTGAAAAATAACTAACTATTATTAACCTGTCTTAAAAGAGGTTTAAAATGTCCACTAACTACATACATACAGAGATTAAATCTATGCATACAATTAAACTATACCCGTTGTAAGATTTGTGGATTATTTCTAATTTGTACATTTGTACACATACATTTGTACTGTGTTGAATTCTTTGCCACAGATCGTCTCTATTATTGACGGATGTCGAATAAACCATTTCTTTTAGGGTTCCCCAGAAGATTTTCCCCATTAAGCCGATCAGGCAAAATATGAGGACCAATGACATAAATATCTATCAATTCTACCATTTATCCCATTTTTTAAATAATTCGGTTTACTTAAATCCGGTTTAAAATTCTTTTAAGAACCCACCGTATATAGATTAAATTTTACGATTTATACCAAACTTATCTCATTCGAAAATCAACATGTAGGTACTGAGATATAAACTCCTAAATGTGAAAATACTTCAATGTCTATTGAGACGCTAACAAATATTTTTTACGATTTATACCAATGATACCTGCACCATTCAAATATAACAAAATTGTATAAAATTAAATAATGTAGAAACTAATTCAGCTAAAGATTATTAATTATTATTAATTAGACTATACTAAGTGTTTACACACTTAGAGAGGAGACTCAATTAGTATAAAAATGTTTTGCAAATAGAATATTTTTTCTGTTTAACACCTACTGACTTACCACATTGATGCAATGGAATTTTAGGAACCGCTAATTTCACCGATAGCTCTGCTTCTGTTTATAAGTGTTGGTATTCGCCTATTTGGGGATCGCTGAAGGCAAATAAAGATGTGCAGCTAACTCGCAATTTTAATCAGCATTTGCATACGTTTACCATCATCATCAATCATCATCATGTCCATTAATTCGTTGTTACTGTATTGATCGATCATTTTAATATCCTTATTGTTAAACATTTGTTCACTAACAGTTTTCCAAATGAAAGACAACCTTTTCGCCATGAAAACTGATGATTACCTACCTAAAACTTATTAACTAGCCAATTTTTTTGTTTACAATAACATTATGCTATTTATGGCCACAACTATTCAATTGTTTTTACGTGACAAGTCGTTGACGGCTCTAGAGCAGGTTCTCAATAAGTTTTAACAATTCTGATGAGTGATGATTATTAGTTTTAAGCAGAGCTTTGCAGTTTCAATGATTTTGATTACCTATTGAAAATGTTGTTATATTATTATTAGGTATAAATGCATTCTGCCTATCATCAAAAAATAATCGAAATAGGTACTTGTTTGGAAACACCCTGTATAAAATGCACTAAAATACTGGATTGTCCGTAACTAAAATAGAAAATTTAAGCCCGTTTCTCTGAAATTATACATTTTGGTGACATCCGACAGTATCTTAGGGATACCTACTAAAAAGTTGAAAACTTTAAATATGCCATATCACCATACCGTTGTATCTGGTGTACCTGCATAATATTATTTATTTTATGTAAAACTAAAGTGCGTTATTTCATTTTTATTTATTTATATAGTTATATATTTATTTTAACACTTTTAAATAAGTCTTTTCATAATGTCTGACGATCCCTTCTCTAACGTTTAGCTCCTGCGCCATCTATGAGTAGCACTTACACAATGTCAGCTATGCTTAAAAGGAACCTATAAAAGTAATTCCTCGTTGATTGAAATAAATATTTCAACAAAATCATAGTACAATATATTGATTGAAATATTGTTTTCGTTTTCAACATACAATGCGTTGATTAATATTTGATATTTCAGTCAACCTACAATACAGGGAGACCATGCTACAATATTTCAGTAACGTCATAACGTAAAAGATATCTGTAAATTCGAATGACTTTTAATTTCTCTTTCCAGTGTGTCTTTTATATGTTTTGTGGTTTAGAACGTTTCGATTGGAGTTTTTGAGTTGAGTGGGAGTTTTAGGTTTGATGAAATGTCAAACGCCTAAAATTTGCTTGTAATCGTCATCTAAAATAAAATTATAACAGTTTTCTTGTTAACATTCTTTTGTGTGGAAGTACATAAAACATTTCAACATGCCGGACCATTTAGGAGATGATATGAGGAAAGTTAAAGACGGTAATAAAGAGGAACCAGAGAAAGAAATCAAATGTGAGTACCTCAAAGTGTGTTGATTTAAAAATCAAGCAATTTAGTAGATATGTTCTGACAACATCTATTTTGTTAAATTTTAGCTCTAGATGAAGGTGATATAGCTCTTCTGAAGACATATGTAAGTAGTCTTTACAGAAAAATTAAACATTTTCTTATTTGAGGTTATATTCTATAGGGACAAGGACAATATACAAAAAGCATAAAGACATGTGACGATGATATACAAACTATAATAAAGAGAGTTAATGAACTTACTGGTATCAAGGAATCTGATACTGGGTTGGCCCCACCTGCTTTATGGGATTTGGCAGCCGACAAGCAAACATTGCAAAATGAACAACCGCTGCAAGTTGCTCGTTGTACAAAAATTATTAATGCCGATACCGATGATCCAAAATACATTATCAATGTGAAACAATTTGCTAAGTTTGTTGTAGACCTGGCTGATTCTGTAGCACCCACAGACATTGAAGAGGGTATGAGGGTTGGGTATGTAAAACAAAGCTTAGTGTATCCTGATACATAAATCTATAATTTTAGCGTTGATCGTAACAAGTACCAGATTCACATCCCCCTTCCTCCAAAAATTGACCCCACAGTAACCATGATGCAAGTCGAAGAAAAACCGGATGTTACTTATAGCGATGTCGGTGGCTGTAAAGAACAAATTGAAAAGTTGAGGGAAGTTGTCGAGACTCCATTGTTGCATGTAAGTTTAAAATTGTTTGCTAAATAAACTTATACATTTACGTTAACAATTTTAGCCTGAAAAATTCGTCAAACTAGGCATAGAACCCCCAAAAGGAGTGCTTCTTTTTGGTCCTCCTGGTACTGGAAAAACGCTGTGTGCGAGGGCTGTAGCAAATCGTACTGATGCTTGTTTCATTAGGGTAATTGGTTCCGAACTGGTACAAAAATATGTTGGTGAGGGAGCTCGAATGGTAAGAGAACTCTTCGAAATGGCTAGATCTAAGAAGGCTTGTTTAATATTTTTCGATGAAATTGATGCTATTGGTGGAGCTAGGTTCGATGATGGCGCCGGAGGAGATAATGAGGTAAGACAAATTGAAAATAGTAACTAGTCACTTAACTAGGAAAACATAATATAATGTATTTTAAATGTTATTTGTCAAACATTTCAGAGGCTTTATTAAATTTGACAAACGTCTTGACAGCTTTAATTGAGAACTAAAATACGATTTACTAGTAGTTAAAACATAGATCTGAATTATTGAAATATATTTTCATATATTTAATAGGAAACTTATAAATAATACTCTATGACATTGGACACAGACATTTATTTAATTTTTTTTTATATATGTTTATTACAATTCTAACAAAAATAATTTGAGTTCCATAAAAAATTTATAGATTTAATATAATTGGGCAAGTTTTTAAATTCATTAAGAAAACGATTAATGAATTAATGAATAAATAGAAAGGCTTTTAAAAAACACTGATTACTTTTCGATTTTTGACTAAACTCACTATTTTAACAAATTATAAAATATGAAAACTAGGCAGGCATATCACAAATAAATAAATTTAGACAATAATTTCATTAACAAATTTACCTTTCAATATTTTCCTGTTAGTCTAAAATCATCGCCGATATTTTAGAGCAGCTCTTCCACAAAATATTTATTTCAAACATGATGTTGACAAGTGATTGACAACAACCCTATCATAACTTTGACTGATTTACTTTTTATCACTTCAATCAGTCTCACAGCCGAATGGATTTGATCAGCAATTGAATGAAAAAGTGAATCTTGTAATAAAATGGTTCTATGGAGTCACCGAATGATACAGAGTTAATTTAATATAATTTTATTAATGTTTTGTTGGAAGTACGTTTTTCATTGATTAATTTAAAACTTGCCCATCCACTTATAGGAATTACAGGATGTTGCAATATTTTATGTTTTATTATCAAAATATGATCACTACTATTTTCATCAACCGCCACTGACTGATTAATTGTATGTAATTTTATTTGCCAATACCCGAGTTTCAGTTCCATGTATCATAGAGCATTTTTACTTTAATATGTTGGAGGTCCTATATAAAATATATCTCAATATCTCTTAATGCTGAACCATTTTTAATTAAAGTTTGCAACAGAAAATGTCCTTTGTACCGTGATAAAAAAAATTAGATACCTAGTTACTAATATCGAGTAGCACCTTTTTAATATAATAAAAGTAAAGATAATGATAAATAATACTTGCAAAAGGTAAAAGAATTAAGCAGAATTATCAAAAAAGATCATTGATGTCAAATTACAACCTAAAATTTTCAAATTTCTGTATTGTTAAACAAATTAAGAGTAATTATTGTATATATTTACCAATACATTAATAATGTGTTACTGTACTGCAACTAAAACAGTACATATTTTTTTTTGTACAAAAATCAGCTTTTGTTGCATACTTTGATCTAAGAAGTTTTGCATGGTAATTTATCGACTTTATACAGGGTGTTCCCTAATGATATGCGAATATTTAAGGGTGTATTTCTACATGGAAAATTAATGATAGTTTGCCTTATAATATATGGTTCAAAAATGTTCCGTTGCGAAAATACGGGGTGTTAAAATTTTAGGATTAAAAAAAGAAAATTAATATTTTCGAAACTGAGAGATATTTCAGTGATATTTAGTATGTAGTGATAATTAATAAAGGCACATGTTTTTTAATACAAATATAATTTTTAGGTCTAACAGTGGCGTGCGTACAAGCACTGACTTTAATATTTTTAAAGAAAAAAATGGTACAATGGTTTTTCCCAAACAAAATTATTTTTTAAATCCCGTTCAATTCGAAAGATAAGAAAGAGCTCTCTTGAATTTTTGTCCTGCGATGCGCGGTTTTTGAGTAAAAAAATAAAATACGTTGAATTGTCCATAATTAACTAATGTAATGATTGAAGAATTTTTTTCTTTGAAAATATCAAAGTCGGTGCTCGTATGCATGCCACTGTTAGAGCTAAAAATTATGTTTGTATTCAAAAACTTGCGCCTACTAAATATCACTGAAATATCTCCAGCGGTTTCGAAAATATTAATTAATTTCCTCCTTTTTTCTAAAATTTCAACACCTCGTATTTTCATAATGGAACATTCTTGGACCACGGTTTATAAAGCAAACTATCATTAATTTTCCATGTAGAATCACACCCTTTAATATTCGCATATCATTAAAAACACTCTGTATAGTCTTCCAAATATCTGCAGTTTCAAAATTGTACTTGTACGTTAAATAAGAGACAAACTTTTGTATTAATAAATTGGAATAGATATGTAAGTACAATTCAGTGCATCTATGAGTTTATTAAAAGTTTTCTGAAAGTAATAAACCATGTAATTAGGGTAGAAACAAGAACTCCATATATTAAGGTAGATCTCATCCAGAATGTCACGTATTTACATTTTTCTTTTAGGTACAACGTACTATGTTAGAACTTATCAATCAACTTGATGGTTTTGATCCTCGAGGTAATATCAAAGTTCTAATGGCAACCAACCGACCAGATACGCTAGATCCTGCTTTGATGAGACCTGGCCGTCTTGATCGTAAAGTTGAATTCGGACTTCCTGATTTAGAAGGACGTACTCATATATTTAAAATCCATGCCCGGTCGATGTCTGTTGAAAGAGATATACGATTTGAATTACTCGCCAGATTATGTCCCAATTCAACCGGAGCCGAAATTCGAAGCGTTTGTACTGAGGCTGGCATGTTCGCCATCAGAGCTAGAAGGAAAGTTGCCACCGAAAAAGATTTCTTAGAAGCTGTCAATAAGGTTATAAAATCATATGCTAAGTTTTCGGCTACTCCCAGATATATGACTTATAATTAGGATGTTTTTTCGGCTATTTTTTTATTTTTGAGAAGTGTTAGTTTTAATTTTCATTTAATTAATAAATGATGCTGATTCCATGATACTTTTTTATTTAGTTTTGATTATATACAGAACGTCATACAATACACATCTAATTTTGTTCATCATTTAGAAGTTTGCTTACAAATGTACAGGGTGTTGTTGAAAAAGGTGCCAAAAAAGACAATTTTTTTTATGGAACATGGGCCTACGGTGTTGTTTTTGAGATACCAGGTGTCAATGATTTTTTCAAATAAAATTGATACGATTTCCTTTTTAAGAAAACATTGCCTTAAAATTTGGTACGAAGTAAGCTCTTGAAAATACTAAATATGCAGCATTAATTTGCGACTGTCTTGTAGAGGTCCTTTACCACCAGTATATCCAATTTGTGGAGAATTTACAGATACAATTGTGAAAATGGGGAAAAGGGGAAAATTTCTGTTAATTTGGAAAAGTTCTATACCGGGTATCCACGAGATTACTACCCAGGCTATAGCTTAGGCACGAAAAAAGATATCAATTTCAAATTTTGGGCATGTGTATCATTGAATTTGATGCAAAATTTAATCATAAAAACAACTGACCGTCACTTCCCGTTTGACCGAAAATGCCCTAAACTTTGTTATTTCGTGATTCATCAGAAAAAGTATAAACTGACTTAAATTTGGGCGTCGCTGCATCATAAACCAATTACAAAACTCCACTCTTCGTTGGTGATCGGCTTCATAAAGATGGTGGCATACCTGGTACTTATATGGCTTAAAACTGTGCTTTTTTTAAATCTCTGACTCTCCCGTCCAATTCCAATATTAGCAGCAATTTGCCTAACTGAAGTAGTCGCATCTACCTCAATACACGCCAGAGTATTAATCTCCGCTTCTTAAACAACAATAAACTCGTTCCTCAAGTCTTTCTGTTTAAGTGACATTCAAGCTAAGGAAAATATTTGTCATGTGGCTGTGCACGATCAGCAATATCGTCGCCTGTATAAAGCTTTTGCTTCTCTGCAATTTTGTCTCGTTTCTCCATACACTAGTAACATGTCGATTTGATATTCGCGACATTTTAAATAAAAAAGAAGTAATAAGCACCACCACTAAATGTGAAATGTAACAGCAAAATGTCAAATTAAGTAATTATGAAAATATGGCGTCTAAAAACAAAAGCCTGTCATAGCAACCATATTAAAATTAAGATTCCTAGGCACCTCTGATCTATACATTGACTGATTATATCGTTTTCCATTTATGCATTGTTCAGATGACATTTTTACATTAAACATTTAATATCTCAAAAACTTCGAACTTTGGGTATAGAGAAGTGTACATAAAAATGATTTGAAATTGTTTGTAGAATATAAATTCTCAATTAGTTGTAGGGCATTCCATTAAAATTATTGCAGTTACTTGCTATTAAAGATGACTTCTGGTATTTTCCAGATGTGCCGGAAGTGCTATATTTTTATATCAGTCATACTTTAATACTTCTAAAATAAGTTAAAGATACCATATGACTGTCCCTTTCTTCAACAAAATCACATTTATACCCTAGCGACATTACCAAACGAGCAAGTAGCAATATTTAAGAAAGTTTCTAAACTCCAGAATCAATTTTGTAGCAAAGTGTACAAAGCTAGCGTATTTGAATGTTGTAAAGTAAAATTAAACAAAACTGAAAAATTACAAATGTGAACTTGCAACAAAGTGTTTAACATAATCAGGTAAAGAAAAATTATATCAAGATTAGAAGTTTATAACAAACTTGCTAAATTAATGTTTCTTCACAGTTGGGTGGCCATTGTTGAAAATTTCTTCAAACCCTCAGTAAAACCTTTGCAAATTTAGTTTTATTTGCAAATTCTTGACAATGTTGCAGCAATTTTATTTTCATAAATAGGTAAGGATACCAATTCCATTTAATTTAGGAAACCATTTTTCATGTTACACTGATTTTTTGTACCGTATTTAAAAAAATTGTTAACTGCCACACAAATATTTCAAAATATGTTTTGCTAGATAAATTCAACTGAGAACAAAAAATATCTATATTAGAGCCAAATCCAAATATAGAAAATTATCACCAATCACGTTTCACTTGACGTTTAACTTTGAACTTTGACAAAGTTAATTGACGCAGACGATACCTAACCTACATATATTTACGGTGAGTGTATTCCAATGTTTTCACTGTTGTAATTGGGTAATTAAATTAAAGTTTATAATTTTATAAAACTAATTTTGAAAGAATTATCAGAGTAAAATAAAAAACATAAAATATTCGACGTCGCCTTTATACTTCATATTGCATTTATTATGTAGTGTTGTTAGGCATGGCTTATCTAGGGGCATGGCGGCATGGCACTACCACAGAATAAAATATAGCTATTATAATATAAAGCTATGGCTAATATAGCTCGTGCCTGTGGCATAACCTTTAGGTGCGCCGTTATTTTTCACGTTGCGTACATATATTTTAGAGCTGGGTCGCTCATGAACGACTCGCACGAATGTGCCGGCACATAATCTTGTGCCGTGAACGAACAACTCGCAAGTCGCAACGAAGGAGCTAATCGTTCATCGTTCATACCGGCACCTAATCTGTGACCGGCACTGAGCGAGCACTGAACATTGAACGAGCCGAGAGCCGAGCTCGATTGTTCCACTCCAGCTCCAGAGTCAGAGGTAAATACCACGACTCACGATTGGACTACATATGTGTATGTGTGAATTCTCCATATAACGTTGACTGATTATCACGACAGAAATATAATTTAGGAATAAGTGAGCCGCAAATGTAAAAATAAATGTTTATTATTAGAATACTGTAGAATATTTTAATAGGACATGTAATTGTTTAAAACTGCAATAAATTATTATCAGGATATTAAAAATAGAATAAAGTTTATTTCTCCTAGGCATAAATAAACGGAAAAATAATTAAATTAACAAAATCATCTAAAATTATGTAGATACCTATTACAAATTATAATTTAAAAATATAATTTGGGAGACTTTTTCACCTTGTAAACTACTTCGTTTAGCAGTCACAATTTGCCCTGCTTTGGAAAAAATCCTCACACGGAACAGATGATGCTACGACATGTAATAAATAAGAGTTGTTAAATTATATAAAAAATAATAATAGAGAGAAACAGTTGTTTTTTTAGGTGGTTTTCCTAGTTCTAAAAAAAGAACATAAAATCGAATCATTTGTAATAAACACGATTTTGTTACTTGTCAAAACATTTTCTGAATAAGTGCCACCTCCCACCAGTTGTGCATATTAGTCATAGCCACAACTCGAAAGAGCAGGAGTGAGCAAGAGACGAGTGTTTACTTGAGCAATTGTCAGCATAGTCAACATTCAACATCTTGCACGTGTCGTTCAAATGAACGACTCGCATTGAACGGCACACTTAAATGAGTTGTGCCGCACGTGCCGACACATCCAAAATGAACGAGCGACCCAGCTCTACT